ACACAGACACACACAGACACACATATAGAATAAATGAAGAATAAAGTTTCAATAATAACTGATTATTTGACTGTAATATAAATCTTTCTGTTCAGGAGATGATCCAGAGATATAAAGGACATAAATCCCTCCAGTCTTCATGAACTCCATATTTCAGATTTTATTACATTTTATTAAGAATTTTGTTTCAACTCTAATAATCAGCCTGAAAGCTTCGTTTCTCTTCAGTAAACTCACCGCTTTGTCGTGTCGATCAACCAACGTAGATTTAAGGGAAACAACGTGTGCAAAACATCTGGTCCACATTAAACGGTCCGTGTTCCTAATCCTGCTGTGAAACCAGCATCAGATCGACACTCAAACTGTTAGCATGTAGCTTAGCCTCCGTGAGCTCCATCACCAAACTAAAACATGGACTAGATGAACGTCTCACGATGTCTTCATCTGTATCGTTACACATGAAGGAGAAGAAGTCGTCTCTACTTCTGCTCCATGAGGTCTGACGCTCTTTATCAGCTGGTACTGATCACATGTTCCCTTCTTCTTTGTGTCAAAGGGAAAGGCAGCGTCTGTTTCCTAATATTCACTCAGATCATAATGAAGCTGTAAAACCTCCACAGATCTGGTGTCGGTGAACTTGAGTGTTTCTTCTCTCTGCTCAGTGTCTAAACTCTTTCATCTTCTTTAATCTAACGTTTGGTTTCCGTATCTCTGACAGTAAATACAGGTGACCTGACTGAAGGTCGAGTCGAAGCCGTGGAAAATAAACCGGTGTTGAGTCTGCTGCCAGTTTAGAGAAGACTCGAGTTCAAAGTCCTTTTTATTCTAATCTGTCGAATAATAGAATTTACTCCATCGATGATTAACTCAGTTCAGACCTTCAGCTTCTCCACAGTCGTGTGTGTGTGTGTGTGTGTGTGTGTGTGTGTGTGTGTGTGTGTGTGTGTGTGTGTGTGTGTGTGTGTGTGTGTGTGTGTGTGTGTGTGTGTGTGTGTGTGTGTGTGTGTGTGTGTGTGTGTGTGTGTGTGTGTGTGTGTGTGTGTGTGTGTGTGTGTGTGTATGTGTGTGTGTGTGTGTGTGTGTATCTGTGTGTGTGTGTGTGTGTGTATATGTGTGTGTGTGTGTGTGTGTGTGTGTGTGTGTGTGTGTGTGTGTGGAAAGTATTCAGACCCCTTTAAATTTTTCACTCTTTGTTTCATTGCAGCCATTTGCTAAAATCAAAAAAGTTCATTTTATTTCTCATTAATGTACACTCAGCACCCCATCTTGACAGAAAAAAACAGAAATGTAGAAATTTTTGCAAATTTATTAAAAAAGAAAAACTGAAATATCACATGGTCATAAGTATTCAGACCCGTTGCTCAGTATTGAGTAGAAGCACCCTTTTGAGCTAGTACAGCCATGAGTCTTCTTGGGAATGATGCAACAAGTTTTTCACACCTGGATTTGGGGATCCTCTGCCAGTCTTCCTTGCAGATCCTCTCCAGTTCCGTCAGGTTGGATGGTGAACGTTGGTGGACAGCCATTTTCAGGTCTCTCCAGAGATGCTCAATTGGGTTTAGGTCAGGGCTCTGGCTGGGCCAGTCAAGAATGGTCACAGAGTTGTTCCGAAGCCACTCCTTTGTTATTTTAGCTGTGTGCTTAGGGTCATTGTCTTGTTGGAAGGTGAACCTTCGGCCCAGTCTGAGGTCCAGAGCACTCTGGAAGAGGTTTTCTTCCAGGATCTCTCTGTACTTGGCCGCATTCATCTTGCCTTCAATTGCAACCAGTCGTCCTGTCCCTGCAGCTGAAAAACACCCCCATAGCATGATGCTGCCACCACCATGTTTCACTGTTGGGATTGTATTGGGCAGGTGATGAGCAGTGCCTGGTTTTCTCCACACATACCGCTTAGAATTAACGCCAAAAAGTTCAATCTTGGTCTCACCAGACCAGAGAATCTTATTTCTCATAGTCTGGGAGTCCTTCATGTGTTTTTTGGCAAACTCTATGCGGGCTTTCATATGTCTTGCACTGAGGAGAGGCTTCCGTCGGGCCACTCTGCCATAAAGCCCCGACTGGTGGAGGGCTGCAGTGATAGTTGACTTTGTGGAACTTTCTTCCATCTCCCTACTGCATCTCTGGAGCTCAGCCACAGTGATCTTTGGGTTCTTCTTTCCCTCTCTCACCAAGGCTCTTCTTCCACCATTGCTCAGTTTGGCTGGACGGCCAGGTCTAGGAAGAGTTCTGGTCGTCCCAAACTTCTTCCATTTAAGGATTATGGAGGCCACTGTGCTCTTAGGAACCTTGAGTGCTGCAGAAATTCTTTTGTAACCTTGGCCAGATCTGTGCCTTGCCACAATTCTGTCTCTGAGCTCCTTGGGCAGTTCCTTCGACCTCATGATTCTCATTTGCTCTGACATGCACTGTGAGCTGTAAGGTCTTATATAGACAGGTGTGTGCCTTTCCTAATCAAGTCCAATCAGTTTAATTAAACACAGCTGGACTCCAATGAAGGAGTAGAACCATCTCAAGGAGGATCAGAAGAAATGGACAGCATGTGAGTTAAATATGAGTGTCACAGCAAAGGGTCTGAATACTTATGACCATGTGATATTTCAGTTTTTCTTTTAATACATTTTTTTTCTGTCAAGATGGGGTGCTGAGTGTACATTAATGAGAAATAAAATTAACTTTTTTGATTTTAGCAAATGGCTGCAATGAAACAAAGAGTGAAAAATTTAAAGGGGTCTGAATACTTTCCGTACCCACTGTATGTATGTATATATGTATTTATGCATGTACAGTGGGGAAAAAAGTATTTAGTCAGCCACCAATTGTGCAAGTTCTCCCACTTAAAAAGATGAGATGCCTGTAATTTTCATCATAGGTATACTTCAACTATGAGAGACAGAATGGGGGAAAAGAATCCAGGAAATCCCATGTAGGATTTTTAATGAATTAATTGGTAAATTCCTCGGTAAAATAAGTATTTGGTCACCTACAAACAAGCAAGATTTCTGGCTCTCACAGACCTGTAACTTCTTCTTTAAGAGGCTCCTCTGTCCTCCACTTGTTACCTGTATTAATGGCACCTGTTTGAACTCATTATCAGTATAAAAGACACCTGTCCACAACCTCAAACAGTCACACTCCAAACTCCGCTATGGCCAAGACCAAAGAGCTGTCAAAGGACACCAGAAACAAAATTGTAGACCTGCACCAGGCTGGGAAGACTGAATCTGCAATAGGTAAGCAGCTTGGTGTGAAGAAATCAACTGTGGGAGCAATTATTAGAAAATGGAATACATACAAGACCACCGTGTCCCCCTGCTTAAGCCAGTACATGTCCAGGCCCGTCTGAAGTTTGCTAGAGAGCATTTGGATGATCCAGAAGAGGATTGGGAGAATGTCATATGGTCAGATGAAACCAAAATAGATCTTTTTGGTAAAAACTCAACTCGTCGTGTTTGGAGGAGAAAGAATGCCGAGTTGCATCCAAAGAACACCATACCTACTGTGAAGCATGGGGGTGGAAACATCATGCTTTGGGGCTGTTTTTCTGCAAGGGGACCAGGACGACTGATCCGTGTAAAGGAAAGAATGAATGGGGCCATGTATCGTGAGATTTTGAGTGGAAACCTCCTTCCATCAGCAAGGGCATTGAAGATGAAACGTGGCTGGGTCTTTCAGCATGACAATGATCCCAAACACACCGCCCGGGCAACGAAGGAGTGGCTTCGTAAGAAGCATTTCAAGGTCCTGGAGTGGCCTAGCCAGTCTCCACATCTCAACTCCATAGAAAATCTGTGGAGGGAGTTGAAAGTCCGTGTTGCCCAGCGACAGCCCCAAAACATCACAGCTCTAGAGGAGATCTGCATGGAGGAATGGGCCAAAATACCAGCAACAGTGTGTGAAAAGCTTGTGAAGACTTACAGAAAACGTTTGACCTCTGTCATTGCCAACAAAGGGTATATAACAAAGTATTGAGATGAACTTTTGTTGTTGACCAAATACTTATTTTCCACCATAATTTGCAAATAAATTCTTTAAAAATCCTACAATGTGATTTTCTGGATTTTTTTTTTCTCATTTTGTCTCTCATAGTTGAGGTATACCTATGATGAAAATTACAGGCATCTCATCTTTTTAAGTGGGAGAACTTGCACAATTGGTGGCTGACTAAATACTTTTTTGCCCCACTGTATATATATAGTGCTGGGCAACGATTAACAGTTTTAATTGCGATTTAATCTCATTGTTATGTACAAAGTTCAATAATGAATTCAAAAGTAGTGTATTTGCACTTATATTTTTAAAATACTGCTATATGAACAAAAGGTCAATAACATTTGGTTTAAACACTTTAAACACATCAGTTTCTTGTTAGCAGCAGTATTCCCTTTACACAGCAGCAGTTATAACACAGTTATGATTCTGATCATAGATATTCAGCCGGTGTTCATAACTTTATCTTCATGTGCGTAAGAGATGATATTTAAATATACTTCTTGAAAACTGCAAACCTATCTACGTCATGTTTTTATGTTTGTTAAATTCTCAGTAGTGATACTAAATGATGCTTATTATACATATTACAAACAAAACACTTTAAAAACTTAATGAATCATTTCTTTTGTTGGTATTTTGGTCAGACACATCTGTAACGCTGATTACCGTAATATGTGTGGTATTTGTTATAAATGTACGTTAGTACATAGAGGGTGATAAGAAGCTGTACATGGAGGGACTTAGGACCCAGGGGAATGTTGGTGAAGGAAACGGGAAGAGATGGAAGAGACGCCACACGAACAGCTGTTCACCGCTCGCTGCCGGTTCTCGTGTTAAAAATGTCGCTTAATCATAAAAAAAACTGCGTTAACGCGCGATAAAATAATTGTCGCCGTTAATTAATGAATGCGTTAACGCTATATATATATATATATATATATATATATATATATATTGTTTCTAGAAATGACGATACATTTCTCTCAATAAGATGTTAAAAAAACTAAACTTGTCTCTTCTTCTCAGGCTACATTGAACCTGACATCCAGTTCTGCCACAATGAAGACCAGCACCCTTTAGAAGAGAAAGAACCGGTCCAGAACAAGGACTTGCCTGATCCGTCCTGGAGATCCGCGGATTGTTGGAAACAACCATCAGAGAGCGACGGCTCCGAGTCCACCATCGTCTCGTTCGACCGGAGCACTGGGCCTCATCACTTCCTGTCCAAGAACACCGACACCATCGACTTCTTCCACCTGCTCTTCCCTTCGGAGCTCATGGAGCTGATCACCAACGAGACCAATGCCCACGCGAAGACCTGCCGGTTCATGGGCTCCGGCTACTCGGACTGGGTCCCCGCCACCATCCACGAGATCAAAGGTTTCCTCGGCCTTGTCATTCTGATTGGGATCCAGAACCTTCCGGACCTGTCGCACTACTGGTCCTGGAGTCACTACGACAACAGCTACACCTTCTACCGCGCCATGAGCTTCAAACGCTTCAAGCAGATTGCCGCCAACATCCGCATGGGCAGCTTCACCACAGAAGAGCTTCGTGGAACCGGCAACCCCAGCGACTCGCTGCACATCTTCAGGCCGATGCTGAATATTCTGGGAGGAACCATGTGGCACGCCTATCAGCCGAACTGCTGCCTGTCCGTCGACAGGGCGCTGCTGCCCTGCCCGGAGGAGGAGACGAGCTGCTACATCAAGGCGGATCCAAAGACCCAGCCTCAGGTGTGGCTGCTCTGCGATTCCAAGTCCGGCTACTGCCACCGCTTCTTCATCCAGGTGGGAGAGAAGGAGGGCCAGGAGCAAGGCTTCACCATAGTGCCAGAGCTGGTGAAGGATCTGGAGGACAAACACCACCAGCTTTACCTGGCTAGTTCGCTGGCATCTGTCCCACTCATGCAGAAGCTTCTGGACCAGGGCATCTACGCCTCCAGCTCCTTCCCTCCACTCAACCCCATACTGCCCAGAGAGCTGTGGGAGGAAGGTTGCCTGGAGGAAGCCGGGGACTTCCTGCAGAGACAGTTTGGCCCCCTGCTGGCCACCCGCTGGAGGGACACCAAAGAGATGGGCTGCCTGTCGACTAACGCAGCTCCGGGTGAACAGGACACCGTTTGGAGGAGGTCTCAGACCAAAGTGGGCGGATTGGACCCGATAGACCGCCCCATGGCCTTCTGCCTCCTGCAGGAGAACATGCGAGGGGTTGACATCTGCAAGCAGTTGCTGGCCTGCAACCCTCTAGGGGGAATCCCCCAGGACCGGCACTGGCGCGGCCTCTTCTGGTTTCTGGTCAACCTGAGCATCGTCAACGCCTTCATCGTGCTGCGGGAGAGCCGCAAGGACAACCCGCCGGCCTGGGTGCAGGACGGCCTCTTTACTCAGGTCAACTTCCGCAAGCGTTTGGGCAACCAGCTCGCCAAGTGTGCTCAGAACTACTTCGAGACCATGGAGATCGCCAGCTCCCGCGGGATGAGGGTAGAGGCGACTGAGGCCCCAGTTAAACAAAGACACCGGATGGGGAAGATCAGCAGCATCTCCAAGAGGTGCAAGACCTGCCATTTAAAGAACCTCCGGCATGAGAGCGTGTACGGCTGCATCGTCTGCAGAGCAAACCTGTGTAAACTGCCGAGTTGCTTCTGGGAATTTCACGGCTTGTCGCGCATAAACAAAGGTCAGTATTTTACACAGTTACTTTCAAAGGGTGAAGAAGTTTGTTTATTACTTTTTATGGTTATACACAATTAAAGATGCGTGCTTGATGTTTTTTTACAGGATCAACAAGAGTTGGATTTATCAAGGACAGAATAAGGTAATATTTTACATTAAAACATTGAATTAATTTGATTTCACTTGTCTGGGTGTAGTAAAGCTTTGGCTCTCATGAACAAGTTGAGTTGAGGAGTTCAACCACATGAGCTTTGTTTTGTCAGAACTTTTTATCTCGGCAATAATATTGACATACTGTATGTACATTTGAATCTCTTTTTTTGTAGCGGAGAAATCACGGTGAAGGAGGTTGAGGACAACGTAGACGGGGCGATGGCGCCCGTGGAGGACCTGGACTTTTCTGACAATGAGCTGGATGACATGGACGATGACACTGAAGATGTTAAGGAAGAATTCATCAAAGAAGTAAAACGTCCAATGTCTCACCTGCCGTCAACGACCAACGGCCACGCCCAACCGACGACCACCCCGTCCGCCTGTAAAGAGCGCAATGATTTCCTCACCGCCCGTCAGCTCAGGATCGCCCTCTTCGCTCTGTGCGACGGACTCCGCCAAGCCTCCAGGGTGTTTTTAACCGAGACGCAGCTCATCCGATCCTGGCTGAAGGATGCCAAGAAGCGTTTGAAGTCAAATGAACGGGAGCAGAAGTTGGACGCCAACGGTGGGGACCGCATGGTGGGCTGGGTGCTGTCCATGCGCGAGCAGCAGCTTCCGATCACAGAGAGCAACCTCTTCCACAAGGCCTCCACGCTGAAGAAGAAGGGAGGTTTCAGTGACTCCTTCCGCATCTCCTACGACTGGGCGGTGAGCTTCATGCTGAAGCATCGGCTGGGCGTTCGGAGCATCGGCAGGGCGGCCACACTGGATCGGGCTCTGCCGCTTTCCCTGGAGGCCAAGATCAAGTCCTTCAGGGATTTTACGCAGAAGGTCATCCGGGTCAACAATCTGCCGGAAAGCGCCGTGGCTGCGATGGACGAGTTGTGTCTCTTTGTGGATTTGAGGTTAGTTCAGGACAAGTCTCGCCGCTCGGATGCCCTGGAGCTCACTGGGTCATTACCTCTGGTCACCGTGTACCTGACGGTGCTAGCCGACGGTACCATGTTGCCGTCTGTGGTGCTGGCGAACCGGCAGCTGGCTGAGAAAGTCCTGCCCGAGTTTATCCTGCTGGAGGCCGGACCAGAGAGACTGTTAGTAGAAGAAACCTTGGATCTCTGGACTAACAAGGTTTGGCTGAAGCACGTGTCCGGTCCAACTAGGCCCAGTAAAACAATGCTGGTCTTGGACCGACACCGGGAGCACATGGGAGATCCGTTCCTCACTTCCATCAGCGGATCGGGCACCTTGCCGGCTGTGATTCCTGGAGGCTGCTCTTTCCGTCTTCAGCCCCTGGAGATTTGCGTGAAGCCGGTTCTGCAGCACTTCCTGTTGTCACGCTGGGCAAAGTTCACCGCCGGAAACCCAAAGGAGTTGGAGGAGACGTCGCCCCACCAGCTCCAAGCGAATGTGACCCAGCAGCTGGTTGACTGGCTGGTCGAGGCCCTGACGGACTTAAACAAACTCCCGCGGCTTTGGAAGAAGTCGTTCCGCCTGACGGGCCTTCTGTCGGTGAGGAAAGAGGAGGAGACCATGAGTCCAGAGGAGATCCAGTCGGACCTCCTGAAGACCCTGACGGAGACCCTGCTGGGTCCGGAGGCTTTAGAGGACTATTATCCTGAGCTGCTGGAGCTGGAAGACGAAGACGACACAGAAGAGGAACAAGAACAAGGACAGAAGGTATCGGAGGAGAAACATGAGGACAAAGAGGGAGGAAGAAAGGAGGTGAAACAGGACAAGGAAGAGACCAGGGAGGAGATTGAGGAGGAAGGGAAGGAAACAAAGGAGGGAGGTCGGCCAGAGGACACAGAGAAGGACACAATCAAAGGCGTGGAAGACAGGAAGGAGACAGACAAGGACAGGAAAAAAGAAGTTGAGGAGGACAGTGAGGAGGAAGGAAAGGAGACAGAGGAAGACAGGAAGGAAGTGAGCAAGGAGAGACGAGAGACCAGGATAGTGATAGGAGAGGAAGTCGGTGATGAGTGGAAGATAACTGTTAAGAGCCGGACTGACAGCGTCGAGGACGACAGGATGGACGAAAGCTGAAGCAAAGACAGACATGAATGTCAACACACCTGTCCACAGGTGTCTCCAACAGGTGTCTGACGGGACGTTTACCGCCGGATCTCCTCCCCGAAATCTACCAAAAACCACAGAAAGTCGGGCGATGAGACAAGCAAGAAGCACACCTGTCTACTACGTGGGGGACATGAAGGTGACACAGGTGTGCTGTTGAGTTGGTCCCAAATATTTAGTTTGAACTCTTTGACCCTATTGGTCCGGTTCCGACGGGACCCTGTTCCTAGTGGACATTAAAAGAACTGCAGCTGGTTAAGTGGTTTAGAGACGAGCCAATCAGCTGATGTCCACATGCAGGAGTTATGAGTGATGCTGGTTCTCCATCTCACAGGAACAGCCATTTAGATAGTTAAGAACATCTGTGTGTCTGGGTCTTAATCCTTACACAAGACAGATTCAACAGATAAATAATGAGACATAAAGAGACATGAAGACCAAAATGTTTGTGTTCCTAAATGTTGAACTCAAAAACAAAACTCACTGAGATGTGAAACAGAAAGTCTGAGACGTTACAAACAGCTGTTGGCAATAAATCCATTGATCTTTAATTAAAGCAGCTTTTCTGATCTGTTGTCTGAAGCTGCAGCAGCTTCCTCTGAATGTTGGTGTGATGATGATGATGGGGACCAGCTCTGGAAGCTGATTGGCCGGTTCGGGAACATGTGTTAATGGATTGGATCATGTGAGCAGAACCTGGACCTGAATATTTTGATGGTACCTCCAACAGAACGAATGTTGTTGTACAGACGACGATGATGATGATGATGATGATGATGATGATAGATCCTCTTCCTCATTAATAAAATACAAACATCTTCAGCTTTGGATCCTTTTCTTTTTAGTTGTAGTTTTTTTAGGTGGTTTCTTCAGGAGACAACTTATAGTTCTTTAAAGTGAAGCCAAAGCTTCATGTGTTAAAGCTGCATTCTC